CGGATCCCATGAGGTCACATAGATAGATGAGTTTATGAGATCTAATCATATCCATTAGATCATTGCATATTAAAGGGTGAGATTGAAATAGATTTTGTATGCATTTTAGGTGGTAGTCTATGCATAAGGGTGAATAAGTAATTGTAATATAATAGATATTTATGGTTACAAATAAATTGGAATATATTCCATGATTAGCAACTGATTATGGGATTGGATTATTTATTAACGGTAATATATTAGTATTGATATTCTGGTGATTCCTGAACGCAAGCATTCGCCATACAGTCTCAAGGTGCAGCGGTTGTTTCACATCAACGGCCACAGTGATGGTGCTACCGGACATAGGTATGTGCATCATTATTTGAACTATTATAGGCTTTTAGATTGGTGTGCATATATTATGATGAGTCTGTGCGTCGGGATACCGTAGTGTGCAAGTTAGTGCATTTCGAAGCGTGGGTGTCTAATGAGTGCATGAGGGTGGCGTTTACTGCGAATATTTTTACGAACGGGGGTTTTGGTTTCTGTGTATTGATTTTTATTTTCTTGTTTATGTGTTTTTTTATTTTACTAGCGTGGTGGTTTTGTTTGAGGTGTTGATTTGTTGATGGGGTGTTGTGCGAATCGGACGGTGACGGGGTTATTTATTTATTTATTTTTCTTGAATTTTTTTTTTTGTTTTTCCCCGGATTGTAATTCGTTAGGGGGTTGTGCGATATATAATTATGGAGTGTGCAAATGACCATTGTTGTTTTCAATAAGGTGGTGGTGAAAAAGTTATTTTTGATTGGTTTTGTTTTGTTAGCATTATTTGGGTGGAGTGTGTACATATGTTTGTTGGAGATATCCTATCGAATACATTTACGAATTAAAACATATATGACATGTGTTGAGTTTTGGAGAGTTGTTTTCTTTATGCAATGTTGTTTTAATTCCCCTGCATATCAATTTTTCTTCGTCACTATTGGTGTATACGCTTTGGTTTTTTTTTATTTGTTTGTTTTATAAAAAATGTTTCATCCTTTGCGAGGGATTTATTAAGCCAGGTGTAGTAAGTAACATGTTTATTGGACGTTATATTCACAGCCTGTGCATTCTAGGGTTTAAACATGTGCAAGGTGCGTGTTGGGTAAGTGCAACGCAGTTAATGAGCATGTGCAACGAATTAAAAACCCATACGCAGATTACTTATTATGATGATAAAAAGATGACTTGTGGTTTACTATAACGAAACATATGTTACAGGTGTGTGCAGTGCAAACGCCACCGATGTAAACGAATCAGAAAAGGATTGCAGAATGGATATTAGCCCGGGAGGTACGAAATATTGGTATACAGAGAATGTGACCGTAGCCTGAAACCATATGAAGTTCAAATGTTTAATACACTGGAAGATGGAATCCAATTTTATACGAAGTATGCCGCAACAACCGAATTTGATGTGCGTCGAAGTTCGGATAAAAAGAACAATTTTGGTATTGTTTTGAAAAAGGATGTAGTGTGTTCGCGACAAGGGTTTAAGGAGACTAGGGGCAAAGAAACTTTGGGTGAAGGAGGGGGTTCGGAGAAGAAGCGACGGCGGACCACTAATAGAGTTGGTTGCGGCGCTAGAATTGTAATGAAAATAGTTGGCGACAGGAGATATAAGGTTCACAAATTTGAAGAAAGACACACACACTGTCTGTGCGAGGAAAGTCACAAACCATTTATGAAAGTCAATCGCAAATTGGAGATTGCACACCAAGAATTCATTACTAAGTGCGAAAAAGCAAACATTGGTGCAAGCAAAAGTTTCGACATATATGCCGAGATGGTAGGTGGTCCGGAGAACGTGGGTGCGACGCAACAGGACTTTAAGAATTATAGGAGAGAGCTATTAGCGTAAATGAAGTGGGGAGATGTGCAAATGGTTATATCAAACTATCTTGAGCAGAAAACAGATTGTGCTGATACGTACTTCGAATACGGGGTGAACGCAAATGATCAATTAGCTCGTGTCTTCTGGGCGGATGGTATGGCAAGGAAAAACTACGGTGCGTTTGGCGACGTGGTATCCTTTGATGCAACGTACAAAACAAATAGGTATGAGAGAGTTAATTTAAATAGATGGGTGTGTAAATTTAAATTTGTGGCGAAGGGTGAGGTTATCTTTGGGTAACGACGTATACAGGAATTAAAGAGTATGATGTGCATAATAAGTACGTCTGTGCGTGTGTGTGTAAGTTAGTTCTTGACTTGCACGGTGCGTGTATCTTTGCGTAACTACGTATAATGTAATTAAAGGGCAGTCTGTGCATGGGTTCTAGGTCTGTGCGTGTGTGTGTATCATGTGCGAGCTTTACAGTAGGTCTGTGCATGTGTTTGCAATGTTTGTGCTTGAATTATTTTGCCAAATATGTGACGGCCGATTAATTGCTATATATTGCTTTCAGGTACCACCTTGTGTTTGCCCATTCACAGGAGTAGACAACCACAAACGATGTGTGACGTTTGCAGCGGCCCTGGTTGATAAGGAGGACATGGAGTCGTACAGTTGGGTATTAAAACACTTCAAGAACGCAATGGGGACTGCACCGCCTATAATAATAACCGATCAAGAACCAGCTATGAAAATTGCAATCGCAGATGTGTTTGGAGGTAGTCGACACCGTTACTGTATGTGGCACATAATGACTAAAGTTAGCGAGAAAGTGGGGGCTGAGATGTCAAAGAATAATGAGTTCCGAAGGGCATTGAATAGTGTTGTGTGGAACGAGAAATCAACGAGAACAGAATTTGAGATTGGGTGGAAAACAATAATTGGGAAATACAACTTACATGAAAACCGATGGCTAACCCGTATGTACGAGGAGCGTGCGTCATGGGTGCCCGCATTTTTCGATGATGTGTTTATGGGTGGGCTACTACGTACCACTTCCCGTTCAAAGGCGGAGAATAGGATTTTCCAGGGTAACATGAACAAGCACTTATGCCTGGTAGAATTTTTCACCCGTTTCGAGCGTGCGGTAAGAAAACAATGAAAGAACAACCTAGAACTAAGCGCAAGTTGCATCGGACATACCCCAGTTTTTGAGACACTACTACGCATTGAGCGATCAGCCGCAACAATGTACACATCGACTATTTTTTATGAGGTCCAAAAGGAAATAAGTGCAGGGTGTTTTAAATGTCGAGTTCGAGCATTCACTGAGGCAGAAGGGTTGAAGACATATGTGGTTGAGGATGAAAACGAGCAACGATACACAGTTATAGTGCAAGATGGGAGCAACATAGCATGCACATGCAGAATGTACCCAAGAGTTGGTCTCCTTTGTAGCCATGTTTTTGTCGTACTCAAAGATGAACGTATCGATGACATCCCCCCCCCCCCCCCCCCCCCACAACATATAACACCCCGATGGACACGAGAAGCTGTGAAGCACTCCCCCACTGATAGGGACGGAGATAAACAGAATGGTAACAATACTTAGGCGCATGGAAACAATGAGGAAGGACAACTAATGAATATATTTCATAGATGTTTGGGCAAGGCTAAAGGAAGACCCGAAAAAATGAAGGAGATGAGACTGTGCATGGAAGAGTTTGAAGCAACATTCGGGGAGGATGAAGAACCCGAGGTGAATGAAAGTGGGAAGCGTGCAATAATGGAGTCGTATTGCAGTGTCGTAACCCCAAAGACGATAGAAGTGCATCCACCTCCAGTAGCAAAAACCAAAGGGTCTGGCAAACGAATGAAATCAGCAAGGGAGGCAGCAATGATGGAGCATTATAAGAAAAAACGCACATGCAAAACATGTGTACTGGCCGATGGCCATAATAGCCGAAGCTGCCCACGAAAGTAGTTAAACCATTAGTCCGTTATTAATTATTAAACAGAAGTACAAACATCTGAATAATGAGTGTTTTTTGAGATTCTAAGGTGATTAAATGTTATGGGCAGCTGATGTGCAAATATCCTGGTGACTGTGTGCATTGCGCGTTAAGAGTAATTAATTTTCTTTGGTTTGTGCATGATTTTGTTAATCCAATTCGCATTGATACTAGCATGGAGTTCGGTGGTAAAAAACCCGAATTTAAAACAGAAGTTGAATAAAGTGTAATTAAAAATGAAAAGAATACACTCTAAGAAATCGAATAATACCGGCAATGGACCGTTTGAATAAATAAGGAGAATATGTTGATGTTAAAAATATAGAACGCATTTGTGAACATGTTAATGGAAAGTTTATAAATCTTTTGATTGTGCCGACCCGAGCGCGAGTAACCGTTACAGTTGTAGCATGAGCACCGATACGGACATGCACTAGCTGTGTTTAAAAAAGCAATATAAAAAATAAAACTAATAAACTACGTGAATTCGACAAAATAAGACAACAGAACGTTCGAATAGATTAGGAAAATACTTAGGTGTTAAAGTCTAAATGACTAACGAAAAAACGTGTAGCGTATACACCAAAATTAAAAAACGATTTCACTGATCACAAGACAAATGGGCACATATAGAGAAATCTCTAATGCAAAATAATGAATGGATTAGAGATTGCACTAACCATGTCAATATCCGACCATAACTCATATGGTGACACCTGCAAATCGGCCTCTAACGCAGCAGAAAACCAACCCAACCGGTGAGACCATGCGGCCGTACTTTGAACCACCGAGTACAACTGCACTACAATAAAATATCAGTACCGAAATGAAACGGTTTCTAAGGGAAAAAGAGACGACCTATAAGGCGAGGATGGGCTAACCGTTGTGGTTGGGGATGCAAATAACCGCTTTGGTGCACCAACCGGTTTGGTCCTCTCACGGGCATTCAAAATGCACGACCAAGCACTCAACACACCCACAAGCACTTGATTCCCTTCCAAAAATGACACAAAGTCGAATCGACGAGCAGAACGGCCACAGTAGTTAAATAATTCTGCCGTCCTGTAACATTAGAAGCAATAAATTCAAAAACACAATGCAGGTCGAAATCCCGAAAGACCAAATGTAATAAAGCGAAAATTCTTACAAGTCAACATTAGCAGTACGAGCAACCAAATCATAAACTGCTTGAGGACCAACATTATTGGCAACATGTATATTGGCAGCGCGAGTATGCGTGAGGGGCGCATAAGAATTGAAATCGATGGTGCGCAAAGCACCGACATCCTGCACTACAAGACGTGAAGACTTGATTGGTGCTGCACGCATTGACGGACTGGATACCACGCCCTTGCACGGACCGAGCGTAGTGTTTTGCTACGACATGAAAGCAAACCAGGGATGAATAAATATGTACAAAACAATTTAAAAAGGCGTGGGCAAAAAGCAACTAGAGAGACAACAATACCTCAGGAGGAGTTGAAAATACATGCTGAGAGGTGGTACAACTTACACCCCGCCCACGTGCAGTCACGACCCCGTCCGTAACGGCAGCCCCAACGGACAGTGCTTTTGGGGCAACCGAGAGTTGGTGTTCCAACGCACGCACCTATTACCAACATGGTTGTGGGATAGAGAGGATTGAGATTGATGGAATAATTTTGGGCCAAAAACAGGTATACTGATAACAAAACGGCATCCACACTAATACTTACAGGTACACAAGGTGCAGACCTACTACCCCCGGATGGAACATTTGAAGTATCACCCACATATTCGCGCACAATTGCATCCACTTCCTCCCAACATTGGGTAGGGAGATCTTGGGACAACCCAAGACTGAACGAAGAAACGTCATCACATCCCTAAGGAACGCAGAAAGAACAATAAAATGAGCAGTGGGTGCATAACAAGTAGAATGTATGTGCGAAAGGCCAAAAATTACTGCCCATTAGCAGTTAGTAAGGTAGGACCAACTGTTATACAACACATCTGCACCACATAGAAAGTACAGTACCATGCGAGACAACTAACATACCCCAGTTAACAAACAACAAAAAAAAAAAAGCCACTAGTAGGTGTAGCCACAAAATAATTGTATATCATCCACATACAACCTACACTTGCTTAACTTTCCTGTGCTTGTACACAAGCATACTTACAGCAACTTGGGATTCCACCACATGATCCCCCGATGACACTTGCCCAGACACCCGATCATGCTGGGGTGGCACACCTCCGACATCATCAATAATAGGCCCAACCTACTCATCAACAACATATGGCCCCATATGTGGAACTGCTAGGCGATGGTTATCATCTTGCACCGCCCTAACCGCTTCATCCACAACCTGAAAGCTCTCTGGGTTACTCCAAATCTCATCTCCACTATTGGGCGTGGCACCGCCCGTATTTGTAACGCCAACTAGCTCTGTAGATGCATGGGTCTCAAACAAAGAAATAATCTTCCGTGCACGGGATAATACACGCAAAACGCTATCTGTGCGGGACGAGCATTGAGGGTGAATCCCAATGAATTACACAACATCATCCAACGCAGCGTCTAATGCGCCCATCTTCACAACAAACAATTCCCCAGGCGCCTGCACCATTTCAACGGATTCAAGTATTATAAAATGGCCATAAAAATAAAAAAAAAAACAAAGATAATACAAGCGCATTTGAAACGCAATAGCATGTTAAACACAACGACCTTTAATACAATTTTTTTTAAAAAAAAAAAAGAAAAAGTAAACGGACTAGTAAACCCGAGCACAGACTGCATTAAAAAATAAAAAAGCATAACATGTACTACCAAAAATCAGCATGAACCAACGTATAGAAATGCACACAATAATAATCGTGTAACCGTGAATCATATAAAACAAGGGGAGAAAATAATACACGACCACCGAAATACCACAAGATAGTTGATTCACTAGTTCGCACACACCTAGGATCGTACCGCACCCACTTGCTCCTGCCCCATTCCAACTGAGACAGATATTATAAAGT